TTTTTCTCTTTTTTTATTTTTTTTTTTTTTTATTTATTTTTATAAATATTATTTTTTCTTTTTTAATATATGTTCAATATATCGTTCAGGTCAGAAAGAATAGACGCGTAGGATGTTTGGGGTTTCTTATGAAAGCAAATAAAATAAATTAAAAAAAAAAGAAAGAAATACAGAAAAAGAAAAAAAAACAAAAAGACGCAGATCGTTAAAGACGAAAACAGCGTTGCTGCAACACGCTGCAGCAGCAGCAGCAGCAGCAGCAGCAGCAAACAACAGAAACCCACCCCCCTATAAAGATATTTATGGTTTATATAACTCAATTAAATTTATTTTATTTTAATAAATTCATAAAATTATGAACTTTAACAGCAAAAAAAACACAAAAAAGCAACGAGACAGAAAAAAAAACAAACAAACAGACCTACAGACAGACCCGCCGCATGCAGCTGCTTCGCTCTGTGTAAATATATTCATTTATTTTTCATTTATTTAATTTAATTTAATTAAATTATTTAATAAAATTAGCTTTTTTTATAAAAAAATTAAAAAATTTTGATCGTTATTTCAACATATGATCATACTTTCTCGGGTGTACATACACCCCAACCCCGCCGCCGCCTCTGCTGCATTTTCTTCTTTTTTGTTTTTTTTTGTTGCAAATTCTGCGTTATTTCATTTTATTTAATTATTAAATAAATATAGATCTTCGTTTTTTTGTTTTCTGCTGCTTGCATTCCGTATTACATATGCACAGGCTGTATGAGTAAGAAACCTCAGCTGTTGCTGCTGCTGCTGCTGCTGCTGCAGCAGCAGCAGCAGCAGCAACAGCAGTAGCAGCAGCAGCTGTAGCAAAAGACAGCCAATGGCTGGAGCTAGCTGCTGCTGTTTATGCAGGCTGGGGTTTCCTTTTTTGCTGCTGCTGCTGCTGCTGCTGCTGCTGCAGCAGCAGCTGCAGCTGCCTCTCTTCTGCAGCAGTATACAGCAGCAGAAGCTGCGGATACACTCCAGCAGCACTGGGNGCTGCCTCTCTTCTGCAGCAGTATACAGCAGCAGAAGCTGCGGATACACTCCAGCAGCACTGGGGTTGCTGCTCTCTTTCCCTGGTTGCTGCCTGCTGCATTAAATAGAAAGAAAACAGAAACAACAGAAACCACCAAAACAAACAAAAACAAACAAAAACACCAAAATGCATTTCTCTTGGTGCGCCCATCGACGCTCATAAGAAACAAAAAGATATCTGCAGCTGGCAACTACACCGCTGCAGCAGGTGCTGCTGTACACCCAGCAGCAGCAGCAGCAGCAGCAGCAGCAGCAACAGCATCAGCAGCAACAAGAGCAACACTACCAGCAGCAGCAGCAGCAGCAGCAGCAGCAGCAGTGCCAGCATCTGCAGCAGCAGGAGCTGCAGCAGAAAGAATAATAGCAAGCAAGGATGTGGATGCTGCGTTGCTGCTGCTGCAGCAGTGGGAGCAGCAGCGCGACGAGCTGCTGCTGACGAGCTGGGAAGCATGGGCAGCAGCAGTTGGGGTGTCTGTGCAGCAGCTGCAGCAAATAGTGCTTCTCGTGCATGCGCCAGAAGCTCCACAGCAGCAGCAGCAGCAGCAGCAGA